TTCTTTTTCTGTGCAACTTGATCCGAGATTGAGCACGTCTAGCGGTTTCCTCCGTTCTTCCCCAGTCCCCAGCAGTCACGGTTCGACCCCGCTTGTGTTGGGGCCACGTTAGCCAAGCGCACCGCTCCTCAAACCACCTTGCGGCCTCGCTGCCTGCGACGTAGCGTTCGCAGAGAAGCTTAAAAGTAGCTCCCAGCCTTACCTAACTGCTCGGTCGAGTCCTGCGTCGTGTGCCCACAAGGTGCTGGGATCTTTTTTGCTACTGCATCTTCTGTTCTTAACCGTAAAAATCGCCAGTTAACCTCAATCTGTATATGTGAACGCCTTCAGTTTATATTATTCACGCTATTCGTAGCCCAAGTAAGCTCATTTCCCTCAGAGCCACCCAGGGTGGCAAGGCAGGCCTTACGCTTGCGGATGGGCCATCCTGTTCCAAAGCGTTATGGTTTGTATCAATCTTCTCCTGGGACAGGAGGCAATGGGAAAGAACGGAGGAGTCACTACAACTGCACTGTCTTTGTAACCGTGGCCAAGACTTCAGGGTTTGTGGTTGAGATCACCCAGCTCACTTGGGAATTCATCAGTTAGCCACGCCAATTGCTGAGGTTTTTCCCTAAGATCTTAAAAAGACCCTGAGCGCAGATCACTGCAAATCTGAATCACAAACCGTGGTGGTTTATAGCAGACGCGGCAAACGGGCAGTTTACAGCCACGTGCATTATTTACCCCGGTATTTTTTGTTATGGCCTGGGGAGGCTCGGGCTTTCTGACCCACGGCTCAGAGTTAGCTGCAGCTAACTTGTGAACTAAGCTTGTGAATCAGACCCCAGCGCTGGGGCCATGGGGCGCTGCCTCGAGGAGGAGACTCCCTTGGTGCTGTCACCACATTCAAATCTGGCCCCAAAACTTGCTTATGCTATCTTTCCTCTTAAGAGGAGGATAAATATCACCAACAAAAAGGGGAATGAATCACCCAGATACCTTACTGATGAATCATGCAGCTTATCCTTGTCACCTCCTTCCTATTATCATCTCAAAATACTCCTCGCTTGTCCTGTCTTGTTGACTGTCCCACTAAGCTGAACAGTCCAACACTCATCTCCCAGACCCTGACACAACAAAAGCGAATGGTAGGCATTTTATTTATTAAATTATCTCCTTTTGCTTTCTCATTCGTAAGGGTATTCAGTACGTCTACTCATTTTTAACAAATCACTAGCTTCTCACACGGCAACTGGACTCCCTCAGTAGCTCAGCTTTTCGAAGGCGGCCTCAAACGTTACTCACGATCAAACTGGGGAAACGGACAACGCTGCCCTGAGCGACGCCAAACCCGCTCTCCCGTGCACTGCGCCTGGCAGGGTCCCGAGCGCAGCGCAGCAGCACGGCCGCTGCAGCCACCAGCGGGGCCGGGAGC